AAACAGACTAGAAGGTATATATTGCTATTGCCTATAATGTTACCTGTTATTTGTTTGAAGTTGGTTCACCTATAATTCAAGAGTCCACAAATGCGTTACCTTCCATTGAGTGAACTCTTTCTCCCTCCGTGAACTAGAGGCTTTTGGCCTCCGGTGATCTCTCTCGATAAAAAGTAGCGAAAGAATTGGTTAGCTCCGGTTTTCTGAGAGGCTACCATGTCATTCTGGTTTAAGGAACTCATACATGACGCTCCCACAGAGTCTTTAGCCTTTGTTTTTTTCAAATCCTTCGAGCCACGTCGTGTGGTTCTTATCGTAGTGTTCCATGATGAGTACTAGAATTATATTTAGTTCTTATACCTGGTATTATGGTAAGATAAATATAATAAAAACGTCCGCCCATGTCTCGATTATTTCATGTGCTTAACTAATTAAAAAACTAGTAGGTACAAAGTCAGTGTCCTTTTGTTAATTATTTTGTCTTTATATTTTAAATTGTTTAGCTATGTACATTTTCGATTTTCAAATAAAAATTAATGTTAAAATATCAGAATATAATGTTTGCGAAAACATTTTCCATGACGTGGTTCATTGTAGCGCAGATACCTACATACGACTATCTCTCGTGGAAGTAGGTAATAAATACCTTACAATTGATTCGTGACTAGGGTAAAGTGATACTTTGCATAACATACTTGAATAGCTGCGTAAAATATGACGGTTTTCAAACACCTACATAGAATCACAAAATCCATATAATTATAATGTTACAAAACAAGCAGTCATAGAGCGGTTGTGACGTACAATTTATTATTTCACTGTTTCATAATTATTAATAGAGTAGAGTAATCATTTCTATAATTTTTAATACATTATTAAAATAGTTTTGAACATTAATAGTAGATTAGTAGCCAAGGGCTGTAAGGCATCAATTGCAGCCCGAGATATTTAGGATAGTTCGAGGGTGCAATTGATGCTTACACCCGAGCTAACTATTCTACTTTACATCTCGATTGTGAGGTAAGTAGAAAAAAACAGGCATTACAAGAATAAAACATTTTATTTGTTGAAATTGTGTGAAATGAGAACAATTTTCAAATTTTTAGGACAGGTGTTTTTTGGGTATGTTAATAGTTTGAGATTGTGATATTTGTTGGTCATGGACAAAATCTGACGGGATGAAGCTTTCTTCAGCAGAAGTTGATGGTTGCGGATCATCAAGAATCAAGTATAGAACTTTTTAAGTTTTTTTTTCAAGATCGAAATTGAGCTTCGACGTTCGATATTTAAAATTGATGACTTATACTCACACAAAGACAAGGCTGAATAGCGACCTCTTTGGTCATTGGGCTGAATGCATGATGTCTATTGATGATTAGATGTACGCGAACTTTTTGAAAGAAAGAAGTGTTTTTTTTTAATTACTTACCGCCCTAGGGCTTTTCTAGCTACATTATTACCCTAGAGCGCTAATTAGTCACTTACAAGCCCCATTTGGAGGTAATAAGAACCTACTTACTAATTATAAATTAATCAAATTATAAACTCTTAATTTGACAAAATGTATAAATAGTTTAGAAGGATTTACAAAATGAACATTATAATGGTAACAGTGGCAAAAGGACATTGTTTGGTTAAATACTCGTATAACAATCTTCAAGTTTTATTAACGCAAAACAACGGGGTGTTATAAGTTTGACTTGTGTGTGTGTGTGTGTGCGTGTGTGTGTGTGTTAATTTTGTTATTTGTAATAATAAATGTTACTTACGAAGTTAGAGATTTGTATGAAAATTTTAAAATATAAAAATTTTGGTTACTTTTTTATTTTAGCTAATCAAATTACTGGCCTTAATTATCTATAGAAGTTTGCCATTTTGATGGCAGTTTGTTTGTCCATTTACTGTAAATGTCTACTAGGCGGTGAAGTCAGCAAAAGCCGTTAATGCTGCTTCTCGAGTGTTGAATTCTTTCCTACTTATTTTTTTTTTCTGAATTTTGAAAAGAAGTTGATTTCTGTTGGGGTAAGATCCTGTGAGTACGGTGGGTGACGGAGAGCTTCCAGAACTCTTGTAGCTTTGTAAAGAAACTTTGATGTAGTCATTTACATTTTTCAAGCCCCGGGTGTAGTAGTGTAGTAGGTGACTACTGAGACGAACGCTTACGGTTGTCGTAGAGGATCCACTTTCCATAGCAGATAACAAATCGATTCAGAATTCCCTCACTTCTATGCCGATATTTAGTAGTGGTATAGATGCTTCGTGTGGCACCCACTTGTGTGATGTTGTTTTGACACTAACTGCAAAGCCCGCAGCAAGCTGGGCCGTAGATTGAGTTTGATCCGCTTCCACTATCGCCTTAAATTGAAATGTCGACTATAGTTACCGGCCGACCGCAAGGCTCGTTCTTCAACTCAAGATTTCTAGATCTAAAACGATTGAACCAATAATGGACCGTATTTATGCTAGTAGTGTTAAGCCGTATACATCCACGTAGGATTCGCAAATTCTACGAATTTAAAAAAGTCTAACACAATTTCAAAAAACTAAATACTATCTAAAACCTTCAGTGTACGTATCACCTATACGCTGATGACTTACAAATGTACATATAGTCGAGGTTCGAGGATATATCTTACGCCATCAGTAAAGTCAACAAAGACTTGGACTATATAAAGTACTGGTCTGCGAGGTTTGGTTTGTCGGTAAATCCAACCAAATGTCAATTGATCGTCGTGGGGAGGAAATATGTATATACTAAGTAGGCTGGATATGGCGGACATTCCACCAGTTGTATACGATTGGTGATCACAAGTTACAGATATCAGCCAGAAAGTCAACACATGTTTCCGCGCTTTATATCGTCTGAAGAACTTCCTTCCGCTAAAAATAAGACAACGCTTATGCAGTCCCTAATTATTCCCTTAATCGACTATGGGGATGTGTGTTGTTTTGACCTGATTACATATCTCCTCAAAACTAGATCGCCTTCTCAATAACTGCATTCGATACGTTTTTAATTTTCGCAAGTATGGCCCTGCTTTACGTTCCCAGCTGCAATAGTTTCAATTCGTCAGCGTATTCTTTGTTTCTTTTTTCCTTTCAATGTAAGTTGTATGCTGTGTTCGGACGTGGAGGTAAACCAAGTTACGTATGCATCACACTATTTATTCTCTTAATAATCAATTACGAAAAAATCACTTTTAACGTCCAAAACTTCTAAACTACACACCACATTGAACTCATTGATCACCATGTGCGTAAGGTACTTTTATTTTATTTGTTATACTTTGCAGTTTTAGGAAAACTCACAGCTAAGATAAAAGTGACGTTTTTTAAGGTCTGACAAAGAATTGAGCAAAACAATTGAAAAGAGAACCACCACCATCAGCGATCTGAATATCTTCTGTCTATTTGTTGACAGTGTTGTTGTAGTGTTGTATCTAACACATATTGATAAAAAGGAAGAAAGCTTTCGTCAATTCTTACTTTGTGAACTTTATACATATATATTCCAAAAATGACAGGTTGTATGTAATATTTACCTTAAAACTTAAAAAAAAAATATTTAAGTAAAATATCAATGACGTATTTATCATCTTTACATAGTATAAAATGAAGTCACTTTTTGCTTCTGTATGCTCAAATCTTTGAAACTACGTAACGGATTTTATTGCGGTTTTCACCTTTACAGAGGGTGATTATAGATCAAGAGGCGTGTTTACATGTTCAATACATGCATGTTTTAGTAGAAAAAATCCGAGAATGTATAGTAGAAAAAATGTAATGTGAAATCGTAAAAAGCATGTTTTTGTGCGCTTACATTGCAAAAGCTGGCTAAACTATATAAAATAAAACAAAATAATGTACTCCGGAATTATATATCTTAAAAAGATCTACAAAAAAGTCCACGATGGTATATGACTATCTCTTAAAGACAACCCCAAGTAAGTATTTATATCTTTTAGATATTCCTAAAAAAGTAATGGGTTATTCACAAGGCTATTTTTAACAATACAGTGTTATTCCTTATCCAATTTAATACGTTAAATACGTTGTGCATTTAATGTAGATCAAAACTGAATTTGATCAGAACTGAACATTCGTTAAAATGAATATCATAGATTTATTTATTGATTTACGGAAGGCGCGGAACATGCCTATAAATCTATTTAGGGCTCAATATAACCGAAAATAAATAAAATAAAAAGTCTGACATAACGCCATTGTAGTAAGTTAAGATGCATCTTAACACATCTTAGGAAAACTTGACACAAACCCTATACCAACCCGTCTGGCCAGCGTGGTATAGTAGGCCAAAACCTCCTTAGGAATAAGGAGAGGCCTATATCCAGCAGTGGACTCTTAAAGGCTGTTGATGAAGATAGGCTGCCCTAAAAAGCGGCTAATTATAAACCCGTTTGAAACTAAGTAGTGAATAAAAAGAAGTTAGGCTGTAAGTGTAACCACCGACATAACCAGCGGTGGGTGGTATCTGAGGGGATTTCCGGGCAGAAAAAAAAATGGCTGTAAGTATATCTCTGAAAAGATACGATGTGATGCATTTTTTTTCTGGCACTTACAGCGGTCTTGATATAATATGTAAACAATTTTCACGTTTAAAACATTCATTCAACAGTCATTTGAAAATAAATAAAAATACCAACACGTAATTATTCAAATAAGGAAAATGTTGGAATAAACAGTTGAATGCAAGAACACATAGTAAAGTATTAATTTTCCAAGAGATATATGAAAAAAACTAAATATAAATCAAATTTATTATATAGTTAACATGCTACACGATACAATAATGTAGTTCTAAGAATAATAATCAAAATATAAACTTAATAATAATGTTGAATAACCTCTCTATAAAATTAATGCATAATTAGGTTAAAAAGTATATAGAAATATTAAATAAGACACTAATCCTGTCAGATATTGAAAAAGTGAAAAGAAATTTTGATAGATAATATAAAAGGGTAAATTTAAATACTTACGGAAAAAAGTTGCACCGTTACTGTGAAATTAATTTGAACAACTAATTGCGATACAGGTGTTCCAGGTCTTACAACAATTCTTCCATAAATACCGCTATCATCGCTTTCATAGTCAAATATACCGGGACACGGTGATTGAACATACTGACTACACACTAAACTAAACTTTAAAACCAACACTAAAACAAAATAACACACAAACTTGACTTTTTCCATTCTAATTTTTAAGTCTGAACACTTCGCATTTTGCGTGAAAATTGCCTCGAGACGACATCCGTCTATGGCAGCTAAATGAATACTGCCTTAAATTACAAAACAGATGAGCAATACAATACAAGAATTTTCGCAGTCCCCTGTCATGTCGTGAAGTTGATTAATATTGCCTTGCGACAATGCGCCGTTTAGAGAGGATGTTCGCACATAACAAGTAAGTGCATAAATAAAAAGAGAAAGCAGGCATATTCATAAGGTTTACTATTGAGATGTGTTATTGAATCTGCACTTTAGTAAGTTAATACTTAGTTACAGGAACAGTAGACGTCGCAAGCCGAGTATTAATTTTCATAGTTTCATAGCGACCAATTTACCCGTTTTGATTTAAGGGGTCAAAAAGAATTCATTTGTTTTTAACACAAATAACATTTCAAACAGAGATAAAAACCGGGGGTAAGGAGCTAATGATTATTACGACTTAAACAAATTAAAACTGTTGTTTATCTTATTAACATAATATTCAAAATAACATATAAATAAAATATGTAAATGAAAGAAGAACAACGTAAGAATATGACAAGGTCGTTCAAAATTCCAAGTATCTAACTGGTTTTAATAAAACCACCATATGCAACACAAAAACAGACACTGTGATCGTATCAATTATTATTTGCTAGCTTTTGCCCGCGGCTCTGCCAGCGTGTGTGTTGGCTATTGCGGTAAAAAGTAGCCTATGTTACTCGCCGATATTGTAGACTTCCGTTTGTGAAAGATTTTTTTTAATCGGTATTTAAAGCGTAACAAACACACTTTCTTATTTATAATAAACTAGGTTTTGTCTGCGGCTCCGACCGCATGTATGTTGATTGTCGCGATAAAAAGTAGTCTATCTTACTCGCTGATTATATAGCTCTCCATTGGTGGATTAATTTTTAAAAACGGTTTAGTGTTTTAGGCGTAAAAGTGTAATACACAAACTCACTTTTACATTTAAAATATGTCTTTATATCCATACGGATATAAAGACATATTTTAAAATAGTAACTTCCCATAATAGGTGATTATGTTTACGTGAATTAACGAGTTTACGATAGGGTTAAATAAAGACCTTTAAAACGTTAGATTAGAAGGCCAATTCTCGTAGTAAAAGTTCCAATCAACTCTCGGTCTCACAACTGTCATAAAAGACATTTTCGTAGTAAAGTATTAAACATCCAACGTTGTCCGTAATGTGATTATATCGTATTGTGACCGAAAATTTAATTACTAATCTGATAGTTTTAGTAAATACTTTACTATTTTACTACGAAAATACCTTTTATGACAGTTGTGAGATCGAGAGTTGATCGGAACCGAATTGTTACTGAACTTTTAATACGAGAGTTGGCCTTCTGGTATCTGTACCATGATTATCATTTCGGTAGAAACGTCTGGTAACCAGGTGGTAGGGAATAAATGATGGCAAGTGACAAAGGCCCAAGGACACAAGTCACCAGCGCGTTGCCGCCCTTGCACGCTCTTTCCTTGAAGACTTAAAGAAAATATTATCGCGATAAAATTTACAAATGTAAAAGTTACCACAAATTAGCTTTTTGTTTGGAACATATTGTTGGATTATTTCTAATAGTTTTTATCCCAATCCATACCACTTATTACTTTAGGAATCAACGTGATTAAAAGGTATAGGTTGCACAGACCGTAGTTATGCTCTAACTCCATCTCATGATATTTTACAGCACAGGGGTAGCTATGACTAATCACGTATACAATCAAAATGTGTAAGTGTAATTGTATATGAAAAAGTATAATTGTCAAGTCATATCAGTCCTCTTTATTAAAGTACGTTTACTAAAGCTAATTAAGTACCATATTGGTAATATATGATGCACATACTACTGTCGTACATAAGTTTTATAAATATTGTGTATGTAACATTTTTATTTCATTATAACAAAAATCCTTATTTATAAAAGCCAGTTATGTTGTACGAAATTATTATTTTTCCCTGTTCCAATTAAATATTTTAAACAAATGAATATCTTTACTGCCAACCAAGTGTACATAAATGATCTTACAATATGAGTAATAAAAAATTGTCTCAACTTAATAACCTCTTCCAGGCTTTGCGAATTTGAAAAAAAAAACAGATAAATTAAATGCAACAATTATAAAATTATTAGATTTGTGAATCAAGAACTTTAACAGTCCACTGCTGGACATAGGTATCTCCTTATAAAGGAGGTTTTGGCCTACTATATCATGCTGGCCAGACGGGTTGGTACAGGGTTGGTTTTCCTTCTCTTTGCCGACTAAGGGAGCAAACTACACAGGACAACAGCACTTGTTGTCCTGTGTGGTTTGCTCCCCACACCCATGGGGTGAATAGGGTTAGTGACACACCGTATTCTTAATCCGTCACCACATGTAGGTATAATAAAATACGGTTATTAAGTTCTCGTGTTTGCATGAATTTACTAAAAAAAATATTGCGGAATTTACGCCAGGTCAGAATTTTCAAATTTAAATACATTCAAATCGGAAGTTTTGGAAATACCAATTTCTTTTCCAAAAAACAAGTTCCGTTGGTGCATGTAATACGATTGTGAGGCACCCAGAATCAATAATTATGTGATGAGCACGATCGATTGTTCTGTATATGGGTGTTGTTTATCTATAATGTGTATCTATTTAGAAATATTTAAGCGTTTATCAGCAGTCTGGTTACTATAGTACAGGCTCTACCTATAGTTTGGGATCAGACGGCCGCGTGTCTAAAGTTATTATTAAAAATGAAAATGAATATTATTACGGCTATTGTTGACACTACTGTACGCCACGGTATCCAGATGGGAGAGGGCTATGCATGTGTGGTAATTTATTTTTGAAGAATACAGACTTAGAGGACGAAAATCACTTCGAAACATTCAAAGACTGTTCTGTTCCTCCTATATTCAAATGATTTTATGTTAAGAAAAAAAAACCGGATAAATGCAAGTTTGCCTTGCACTCCGAAGGTATTGTACCAAAAAACTTAAGAAAGATCTAGGAATCTTTTCCCGAAGATTTTTACCCGTTTTTTCCTAGCGATTAGCTTAAATTTCCCTTTTCTAACCATGGTCTTCTTATAACAATAAAACTACGTAAAATTTAAGCTCGTAGAAAATTTTTGGTAAATAAAAACAAATGAACGACTTTACAGATGCTGTGTGGCTTTATTTATCCTCATAAATTTTAATCATTTATGCCCTATACATTTTGTACACGTTCTGTGTTCCAAAATAAGATTTGGAAGTTTTCACCTACCTTAAATTATGGACAAAAAGATATATAGTACACAAAACATTAGACTCGTAGCCTATAAAATGCTCATAATGTGACATACAACTTTAGAAAATTAAATTGTTTTGGATCTCAATTAATATAAGGTAAATAAAAAGTAGGACAAACATAGGATACAAATTGAATCATTCTTAACTGATTATAACGCTTAAGGGGAAATACAGATAATTAATTGCTCAGTGCACGAGTGAGAAATGGGGTTTTCCTCAGCAGGCATGACTAACCAATACAATTTGAATTGTCGGTAAAACCAAACAATATAAATATTTAGGCTTTTGGAAATTACGGTTTAGGAAAATCTTTTAGTCTTTTATTTTTATTTTACAACTTCCTAATAAAATATGAACAACAATGAAGCGCAGCAAAATTCGCTAAATAAAGGATTAGAAGAATCTTAATCATTGGTAACATAGTAATATTTCATTTCTGTCAAGAAATTATCAGATTTATCAGAGCGACATTATCTGTCGCTGTTCATCTTATTTACCGATTTCAAAAATATGTTGATTTTATTTGTTTTTGCTACCTCCGTCCGTGTTTGCTAGTCCGTAATTTATCATCATCATCAACAGCCTATTATAGTCCACTGCTGGACATAGGCCTCTCCTTAGAAAAGAGGTTTTGGCCTACTATACCACGCTGGCCAGACGGGTTGGTATAGGGTTTGTGTCAAGCGCTTATCACCGCCTCATGCCGCCCTGAGTGTGGCCGCGGGTGGACGGGGTTGGTTTCCCCTCCACCCGCATTAGTTTGGCCAGCCGCGAGGGGGCGGCGTCCGCGTGTGCCGGACGTCGCCTATAAAGAGAGGAAAAAATTTTGAGACGGAGCCCGCAACAGGAGCGGGCCGGCGCTAGGAGGGGTCCGGATGTCTTAATAACAGCTGTTCCCGGATCCCTCCTATTACAGGCGCAGAGTGGCACACCGTGTGATTTTAGTCGGTCCGAGTCCGACACACCACCCCGCCGCAAACCCCGGTGGGGTGACGGTCCGAGGGGATTTCCACGCGTTAAAAAAAAAAAAAAAAACGGGTTTGTGTCAAGTTTTCCTTCTTTTTGTCAAGTTTTCTATCTTTCCGTAATTTATAAGCCGTATTATTTTTATTACGAGTATTATTGTGGGTATTTATATCCATTTCACGAAAAAATCCTGCTTTTGCAATACCTCACGATGTTTATCACATTAAAGTTGGTACTTGTTTTATTTCTAGAAAACATTGTATTGCAATACAATGTATTGATACTGACTTCAATGCATCTACATCGTGATGTGATGTATTGAATACATCACATCACGATGGAGACGCATTGAAGTCGTTTTTTTTTTAACATAACTAGACTTCAAACTTAATATTTAACGTACAAAATAAAAACTAATATATTAGAAAATCACATGGCCCATCTAAATGAAATCCACATGTTACAGCTTATTACTCTCCAGCACTTCACTACACTGCACGTACTGCTTGAAACAGATCCAGATCCAGCTTTCAACTTAAAGGGTGGGAGTCATTTTTGTGTAGTCAAAACTTATGGTAAATAATGATTTGATTAAATACTACAAATTGTACCACCTTGATGCAGCCCAAGGGGGAGTCATGATCTCCATGACCCTTCTCCTAGATCTGCACTTGGCTTTAAACCTTATAAATTAAAGTAAATAGCATA